TGTATATATGGGATGGTGTGTGTGTGTATATGTGGGATATGGGTGTGTGTGTGTGTATATGTGGGATGGTGTGTGTGTGTGTATATATGGGATGGTGTGTGTGTGTGTGTATATGTGGGATGGTGTGTGTGTGTGTATATACGTGGGATGGTGTGTGTGTGTATATATGTGGGATGGTGTGTGTGTATATACGTGGATGGTGTGTGTGTGTGTATATATGGGATGGTGTGTGTGTGTGTATATGTGGGATGGGTGTGTGTGTGTGTATATATAGGATGGTGTGTGTGTGTGTATATGTGGGATGAATTGTGTGTGTGTGTATATATGTGGGATGGTGTGTGTGTGTGTGTATATGTGGGATGGTGTGTGTGTGTGTATATGTGGGATGGTGTGTGTATGTATATGTGGGATGGTGTGTGTGTGTGTATATATGGGATGGTGGGTGTGTGTGTGTATATGTGGGATGGTGTGTGTGTGTGTATATGTGGGATGGTGTGTGTGTATATATGTGGGATGGTGTGTGTGTGTGTGTATATATGGGATGGTGTGTGTGTGTGTATATGTGGGATGGTGTGTGTGTATATATGTAGGATGGTGTGTATTGTATATGTGGGATGGTGTGTGTATATACGTGGGATGGTGTGTGTGTGTGTATATGTGGGATGGTGTGTGTGTGTGTATATATGTGGGATGGTGTGTGTGTGTTTGTATATATGTGGGATGGTGTGTGTGTGTTTGTATATATGTGGGATGGTGTGTGTGTGTGTATAACATTCATTGGCATCCACACCATGTATCACCCATTTCTCTAAATGGAATGACCTTCACAACAGTAGATAAACAAACACCACTTGTCATCAGAGGGATAAGTGGTATACACACACACAGTGAGAACAACTCTACAGTAACAGCTGAATCGTAGCCAAGTTAACCTTTACACAGTGTGGACCCAGGTACCCAGTCATAGCTGCTCGTGAGACCCAACAACACCATCTGTGAGGGAATTACTACACCACGGCAGGCCCCTCAAAACACCATCTGTGAGGGAATTACTACACCACGTCAGGCCCCTCATAACACCATCTGTGAGGGAATTCGTACAGCACTTGAAGCCCCAGTAGCCATGGCAGTACCAGTTATAGTATAATATCTCTACTTGGCATTTTTCGAGATTCATGATCATGCTATTGAAGTTTTACTTCATGGTGATGATTTTGGGTAGTGTGAATAGTTTAATCTGTTTGTATTGATGTAAAATTTAAAATCTTTAGTGTATTTGGTTTATAAAGTTGTATTGGTGTCCAGGGCGGTATATACGAGTGCAGCTTAGTCTATTGTCTCCGTACAATCCTGTTCCTCTACATACAATCCATTACTTGGGGATAATATCTTCGTCGGTCACTTTTCCCTCCCTACCATCACAGACTCTCTCTCTCTCTCTCTCTCTCTCTCTATCATCATCATCATCCTGTTTCCTCAAAATATCATATAATAAACTTTGTAATTATTAAATATTAATATATATTAGTCTATAACTGTATTATTGTTTTGTGCAATTAGAGTTTCTTGTTACATTATGTACAATAGTCATATTTTATACGTGTATAAATTGGTAGTGATTATGTTAGTAAGTCTGAATCATGAGTGTTCCGTGTACACAAGTCCCCATTAGCTCAGCATGTACAGCGATAGTGCAGGTCTACAAATAATAATCGTAGTTCAAGTATACAAACAATATACATAAACAGTACAGGTATACAAACAATGGTAAACAAGAATTAGCCAGTTATCACCAGTCACTGTAGACAATAAGCGGCATTAAATATGTACTCTGCATGACGTTTTTGTACATGGCAAGTATAATACAGTTATTCAAGCACTTCCGTTACCAAGGCATCTGTTTGTGACTTTGCTTCTGTTAACGGGATAGAAACTATGTATTTGTATTTCTTTGGTGAGGTGAGTCGCCAGACGGGTGACTCAGGTTGACATGACTCAGGTAGATGGGTGACTCAGGTTGACATGTGACTCAGGTTGAAATATGACTCAGGTTGATGGGTGACTCGGGTTGATGGGTGACTCAGGTTGATGGGTGACTCAGGTTGACATGACTCAGGTAGATGGGTGACTCAGGAAGACACGTGAGTCAAGGAATCAGTCGGCCATCCCGTGGTGGGTGAAGGTCACGTACCTCAACTTCCTCTCTCACTCCCTGTCAGCACCTACCCTCACTCCTTCCTCCCTCATTCCTTCTCTCCTTCCCTCCCTCCTTACCTCTCTTCTCCCGTCCTCCCTCCTTCCCTCCCTCATTATCGCCCCCCCTCCCTTTCCTCCCTCACTATCGCCCTCTCTCAATTCATTTCCTCCCTCACAATCTTCCTTCCCTCCCTTCCTCACTGTCGCCCTCCCTCCCTCCCTCCCTGACTCCCACCCTAGTCAACATTCTTAATAAGTTAAATCGATAGAAACTTAGGTTAGGTTAAGTTACGTTAGGTGAAGTTAGGTTAATATTAGGTGTCAGATTAGCGTTAGGTTAGGTGATTCATCTCTAGAAAGTTGACATATAAGGTGACGCGGCGACCGGTTCAAGTATATTGATCAAGGCGTCACAAGACACTTTGACATTTACACATCACCTGGTGGTTAGTCCCCCAGCTTATTTCATCTTAAGATTATACATCCTAACATTAACCTAACCTAATCTACCGTAAAACAAGCTAACCTAGCCTAGCATTAACCAAACCTAATCTACCGTAAAACAAGCTAACCTAGCCTAGCATTAACCTAACCTAATCTACCGTAAAACAAGCTAACCTAGCCTAGCATTAACCTAACCTAATCTACCGTAAAACAAGCTGACCTAGCCAAGCATTAACCTAACCTAATCTACCGTAAAACAAGCTAACCTAGCCTAGCATTAACCTAACCTAATCAATCCATGTAGCATTATGATGTTTAATCACCAGGCCAAATAAGCTAGGGTGGCTAATCTTCAGGTGACGCCTTATATACACCTCTTAACCCCTTGTACACGGAGGAGTCTCTCTCTTACTAAATAAAATCGTTTGGGCATTAAAAGTGGCGACCAGTAGCGAATTAAACGGTTTTATATTAATACTCTTGTAAATGAGAATTAGTCGGAAAATCATACTTATGGTAGACTAAGGGAAGTTCGGTGTTATTTTCATGCCATTGTGGATATTGTAGGTTAAATGATCCCGTTCAACAGGTTCTGAGGTGGAAAAAAAAAGTTGTGTCCGTGTTTAAACTTTACCCTTGTGTAAGTCAACGTAAATTTCTAGAAAATCATGACATCATAGAGGATACTTTTACTGTGACTGGTTGGGGAACTAACAACTCCCATCCTTCTAAAATACTTACTGACAATACTTAACACATACTAACAGTACTTAAATACTAACCATATTTATTACATACTATCAGTTCTTAAATACTTACTAACCATACTTAATACTAACTTAATACTAACAGTACTTGAACACTTAACTCATCATATTTAAAAAAAAAATCCTATACTTAACCTACAATACCTATCTCTCGTCGCCACGGCCACCTGGATTCCTGAGAGATCAATGTGGACGTTGCTAGTGAATAACGCAGGTGTGTGTGTTACAGTCAATAATTAATCTAAAACAAGACAAACAACAGATTCACACCACAATAGTATTCACGATGCAAAAAAACTTTCTAAATAACGACGAGGCATAACTAGAATTTCTTAGACAACAGAGCAACACCCAGTACACATAACCCTTGCCAGCCTGCCATAACAGACGTGGCACTTGTGCAAGCAAGAGCACGTTGCAAAACAATGCTAACTCCACTGAATGAGTTGGGTGCCGAAGACTGATATAAAAAGTTTATGTACAGATTTAAATAGTTACAGTAATAAGCTGGTATGTATACTTGAATCCTATGTAACGCCCGATCATGTACAGTACAGTATATGACTATGAATGGTCGTAAGAATTACTGAAAAAAGTTTACTATCCCATAATTTTAGCTAGATTTAAGTCAGAAACATAAATATGTCAATACAGGCATATTACAGTACAAAATACATTGTGATTTCGATGTATTGAAAAGCATGACGTAGTTAATATTAATATGGACAGAGACATTTATAGATACTACATGCACTAGTCATTTGTACTGAATTCAGTGGCCGAGGGAAGGAAGCCAGTGGCCTGTGTAGGATCCCTCCATAGCTTTGTCAGAGCAATGGGACTGTTCTTGATTTCACAGCCTGAGATGGTAGATTGGCCCATCGATCTACCAACCTCTACATTAAGAACTTTATATTGTTCTATGGGTGATACTATATACAATTGCTATTAGACACAAGGACCTTGTAGTTCATATTACACACACACACACACTTTAAATATTCAACTGCGACGATGTCATCAGAATCTATTCATACTAAAGAGAAAAGTGGTCCCTCATGCACAGTTTGGTGGCCTTCATATATTGTATGTGTAATTATAACGTTAATTAAGGCCGTCTTTTGATCATTGTTTTATATAGATGACTTAATGATTAATTTAGAAAAGAGAGAAATTACTAAATTAAAAATTGGAAACTAATATGTACGAAGTATCAGTTTCCATGCATTGTACTCTATTGTGCCAACAGGAAATCTAATACGAGCGAACTGTGTAGGCCTATAGAAAGATTCTTCACATACAGTTTTATTCAATTAATTAATTGTATTTAACAACATAGATAATAAAGGTATTTTAACAGATAAATTATAGAATAATGACGAACTGGCAAATTTATACCAATTGCATTTACCAACGTTCACTAAATGTTTTATCTGTAAAACTATATATAATAGCGTATAGAATTAAACCTTACAGCTTCAAATATAAAAATTATATAAAGGCCTTTATGTATATAAATTGGAAATAACATGATAGTAACGTTAAAGTGGTGAAAATGTATTGGCGGTTGAGCTTGAGGGAGGGGGGAAGACTAGGGAGAGCGAGCAGCAGACGACGCCAGTAGCGAGATGGCCACCACCAGGGTAAGAGGTCTACCGCATTTTGCTGTCGGCACCGTGGTCAAAGGCTTCGGCCGGGGGTCTAAAGAACTGGGAATACCTACTGGTGAGTGTAATAATAACACAGAGGAATATTTATGGCTGTATAGTGAGGGAAAGGTCAGTATTAAGGCATCGCAGCTTGATGAGAAAGTTTCAGGAATTTTATCGTGTGAACGTTTGGTTTTTATTTAAGTTGTGTAATGTACCACCAGCCTGTAACACCATCCTCATTATTATGACTTAAACCCAACGTATAAATACACCATATGCGTATACATACACACTTTTATATGTATAGATAAATACTGTAGGTTTACTGGTAGGTGTTATGTAAAATTATTGCATTATTTATGACTACTGCAGAAACTAGACATTATATTCCTTGCATGTAAATATCATATATTCCATACATTCACACACACATGCACATATGTACACACCTGCACATTACACGACACACACATGTACACGACACACACATGTATACGCACACACACTTGCATCATCGGTGTTACAATAAATACTTATCTGATACCGTAAGATACTCCCCACTATTTCTGGTCAATTCTTGCCCGTCCCTGTAATAAGATAACGTAAGATAACTAGTGTACACAGTGGTAAATGGTAGATAACTAGATAAGGGTGTAAATAACGGCTACCACCAGAATTTGTTTGTTGATTTTCTTTATTTTGCTGTACTTATTGTTTTGATGATTCTAAGTACTGTACAGTGTATATTGAGAGAAACGGTCAATTTATAGTAATACACTGGTCTTTCCCTCAATTTATAGTAATACCCCGGTCTTTCCCTCGCTGTTATTTGGATGTATTTTGTGATGTTTAGACAATCCCAATACATTTTTCTTCTATGGTATTTCCTCCGGAAATTAAGGATAACCGAGATATTAAAATTTCAATATTATTAGATTTCCTCAGTCACAAGTGTTGCCATGATTTGTTTACATCTGGCATTGGTCCTTTTTAGATATTAGAAATATGTTTTTCCTATGGTATATGATGAGTTTCGAACGAATTTTATATTAATTTCAGTCTCTAGATTTTTTTAGATCCCCACCCCACCCTACAATCTTACCGGAATTGGTAACTATTTTACGAGGGGCACACTTTCCGTAAAATTCTGAGAAATTTTTCCCGATATCCGGCAAATTTCAGAGATAGGGGAGTTTTTTCTGGGTTTGAGGTCGTCTCTTTACCCAGAAATCTCTCATTCCTGGAAGAGCTCTGCACCAATTGTTCCGGCTGTTGGAGGTATCATATTATTTACTTTATTATTACTGTACAGTATTTACATTTAAAAAAAATATATTTGTTTGCACAGTAATTACTTTATACTGTATATAGATTGTTTTATGTGGCGGCCCAGGCATAGCCAGGTGTGAAAACTGAACAGAAAATGAACGAATTATCGAACACAAAAATTTTGAAATTGTCAAATGTCAAAATATTCCAAACTTGGTTAATTTAGATTGTATGATAATTCAAGTGACCCAGAGCCCTTATTTTGTTGAATTAATGAGGGTAGAGTTTACCTGAGTGGGTTTGTTTAGATTCTTTTGCAGCCGATCGGTGTGTGTGTGAGGTGTCTGGCTTGCTAAACATGAATATTAAACTAATTCTCTCTTCTTAGTGTTAATTTCTCTGCCATTTTTGTTGAACTGTTATGATTCTCTCACACCTGAAAAAGGAGAAAAGAGATGAACACGAATTTTCTTTAGGTGTGTAGTCTATGAGACATCCTGTATAATCCATGGTACTTATGCACTGTGTGTGTGTGTCATCAGTCTTATGACATGACCCAGTGAGTCAACCTAACATATTATGTATACGGCAGGTCAAGGATTCTGTGATGGTACAGTACTCGACCTTGCAGTCTCTGGTTCTGGGGTGACTCTTGAAAGATAACAAGGCAGATACTGTAATATTTTGTTTTCTTTCAAGATTATCACTTTTACCCTGTGCTAGTTTCCTAGCCAGTCAGGTAGTTGGTCTGTTCTCTGTAATGACCTTCATTGTCCAGATGCTATTTAATAAAGTAGTAAAGCTGGTAAACTTTATTATTGGTGACTTAATCTCTTATCTTAGAACTGTGGTCACTAGTATGTTAGGTTATGACACTTAACACACCCTTATTGCAGAGGGTATGTGTTACAAGCTCTCATTGGTAAAGGTTAATTCACTGCTGGTACAACCTTATGAGGCCAGTACAATAGTTGGGGGTCAAGCCTGATTGAAATTATGATCTATATTGTTGTTGTTATAATGTTACTATTAATGGCCTGGGGATAGTCTTAATCAACATTTGATATTATGATTCACATCAACCCCCATCACTACAGGGATGCCACTCTTGATATTTTATTTGGCTAATGGCAGATTTATTTTATTCAGCACACAAGGGGTTAATGCCCTGGGGATAGTTTGAAGACCCCCAATCTTTCAGAGGATCAGTGTACAGTGTATCACTTATGTTAGAGCTACATTATACTGTACAGAACTCAGTCTCATTATGTTTAAGTACTGTACTATTATTACCCTATTTTTGTAGCTATCAATATGTTGGTTTTCTTTAAAGTCATTGCCACAAAACATTGATTAATGGTACTGAAAGTTTTGTTTGAGATTGCAGTAATATTTTTTCTTGAATGGTGTAACAAGAATAGTTGACGATTGCTCATTCCGAGGACGAGTAGATTTATCAACATATGCCATCAAGGAAATTTAGATACCAGGGGCATTTTGGAGAGAGCAGATGATGTCTAGAATAAGCTGTTGTATGATTTTATTAATTATTTTTTTCCATCAGAAAATTAACACCAACCTGACCTAACATCTTTGCCCTAACCTAGCCATCATTTGCTGCGTCGGGAATCTATTTTTCGTAACCTAACCTGACCTAACAATTCAATCCTTACTTGATTACTGTACAATATCAATCATGTTAAAGGTGTTATTTACTGTTGGTATTATTTTTCTTAACCTAGCTTAACCTAACCCAGTAGACCAGCCAAGAACCTCTAGTTGACCTCATTATGTAAGTTAGAAGCAGGATTTTTGGAGATTAAAGGCAAATGTAGAACTTAGCTGGAAAATCACACGTCCATAAACTGAATAAACGTATAATTGATGTGATCCAGTATACAGGACTGTACTATACTGTATTGTGTTTATATATATGTGTTGGTAAATTTTAAACTCTTGGTGATTCATTTTGTTTGACTATATCAGTTGGAAGCAAGAACAGTTCAGTACAGTGTTAGAGAAAGAAGGGGAAGATGTAAAGGTTTTCTTCTCCTTTATCATCTTCATTATCTTCTAGTTATTCTTCATCTTTGTAATCTTATTATTATTAATATAATTCATCTTCATATAACCCATCGTCAATCGCAGCGAACTTCCCTGAGCACGTGGTAGAGGAGCTGCCCGACGAGATCACGACCGGGATATACTACGGATGGGCCAAAGTGGACGACGGCCCCACCTTCAAGATGGTGATGAGTATTGGCTGGAACCCTTACTATAACAACAAGAAAAAATCAATGGTGAGCTGAACTATTAGACTATGTACTGTGATTTTTAGTGCATGTTCAAGTTATGGAAATTATATGCATACTGTACTGCTAAGAGATAATTACTAAATGATTGAGTTATAAAAGAATCATGAGTGCATTTGATATTAAAGAGAAAGTGCAAAGGGTTATTGTACTATTAACTGGAGAGAATTAATCCACTTACCCACTGACCTATTGTAATACATAAGCTGTTGCATTGTTCTCATATATGACCGTTGTGGTTCTTGTGCACTTTTTGGCTGACTCACTTATTGTGGAGGAATTTTTTTGGGCATTTTCCACCACTGATGACCTTGACTCCACTGGTTGTCCGGGTTATTGGTGTAGAAAGTTTTAGTTTAATAGTTCATATTGTAGTGAGTGAATCCGTCTCACTCAACTCATAATTAGGTCAGCTATAGTAGGAAACAAGGACTTACTATTTGTTCATGCTCTACTTATGTGTGAGGGTTTTGCCTGACTTGAATTGTTGTTGTTAATACAGTACTGTAATTATTTGATGTGACAGGACCCTATTAAGAAATGAGTCTCAAGGGGTAATAATATCTTTGCATTTGAGATGTGTTTGTCAAAGTACAGAGTTTGTCATTACGTTCCACAAATACTGTGTGGGCGGGTTAAGGCATGACAGGGCAACACCTAATGAACTTTCTTCACTGATCCATACACTGCAACAGGAGAGATTTGCAAAGTCATTGTATTGTGGGGAGGGTCACAGTTTCTTCTTTACCTACAATGAAAAGTGACCTTATGAACACTATATACAAGAGTCAAATTTGCATCCTGGGTAAAAAAATATGCTTCATCATGATGTATGAGCTGACTCACTGGTTGCCTCTGTGTTGACCAGCTGGTGACTATTGTGTTGATGATCTCGGCTGTTTTTACATTAGTCTTAACTCTTGTTTTGTGTTGATCTTGTTAGGAGATAAAGTGACTTAGTACAGTGTTCTCACAAAGAAATGTATGCTAGTGCAGATAACTTACAGTCTATGCATAGTAAAAGTTAAACACTGGAAAACATGCAATATTAATATGAAACAAGTAAACTTATTGCCTTTATTATTTTCTAGACACATAATTAGTGAGGAACACGACCTAGACCTATGAATTATTATTATTATTTGTATTATTATTATTATTATTATTATTATTATTATTATTATTATTATTATTATTATTATTATTATTATTATTATTATTATTATTATTATTATTATTATTATTATATTTTCGCCCCCCAGGCCCCAATGTGGGTCAGTGACCTGTGCCTGGGTGGTCTGATCCATGTATTTACAGTATATTAAAAAAAAAACTAACCTTACTACTGTATTCTGAGATCCGAAAAATTCCGAAAAATTCCGAAATGCATCTGGCCCCAAGGATTTTGGAAAAGGGATTGTCACCCTGTATTACTGAAAACAGTGTAATACCAGTGGCATGTTATTTAAATTCACTGTGAAGGAAGAAGAGAAAGTGCATGTGTGTGTGTGTGTGTGTACAGTGAATACAAAGTACGTTGCTTCCGACTAAACCCAGAAATTGTCATGACTCAGAGACGGGGCTGGGTGTTATGTTAATATCCTTCTCTTTGAGCTTCGTCTTGAGTGTTGGTACAAAAGTTTAGGTCTTACACAGTGACAAGTTGAGACAATGGTTATCCCGCGGAGGGTTGCCTGGTTCTTGTTTTGGGGGGATCTTTGTGACATTAAGTGAAGGTGTGAGGTGGGAAGTTGTCTAGAGGTATTTTATCTCTCTCTTTTCATCCACAGTCAAAGAGTTCATGCATCTTTGATGTGTTGGTGATTTAGTTACAATATTTGGGATATCAGTAATGTATTATGCATCACCTGAAGATTAAACAACCCTAATGTTGCCTGGTGAGGGGCTTGGGTTATGTAATGGTTAGATTAGATTATGTTAGGTTAGCATTAGGGGGATTAATCTTAGATGTTATATGCTGGGGGACTAATCTAAGGTGATCCCCAAATTTTTATTTTTTTTATTTTATTTTTTTACTGTATACTGCACTCTCTCTAAGGTTCAGTCACCGCACGATGAACCACTTAGCGTTTTTGTAATATTACTGTCTGTTTTCAGCACTTATTGAATATTTGGACTTTTTTTTTTTTACCTCTGACTATAACATGAGTTTTTGCTCACTGAAACTCAAATTTCAAGAGATTTTCCACAGTGTCTTGTCTTTGTCCTGTAACCCATTATAATCGTGGATACTGGGGTGTACAGTACAGGTTACTAATGAGAAGTTGGGGGAGGGAGGGTAGTGGACTCTGTTTATGTTAAGAGGAAGGAGAGCTGTTTGTGTAGAGAGAGAGAGGAGCTGTTTATGTAGAGAGGGAGAGGAGCTGTTTATGTAGAGAGGGAGAGGAGCTGTTTATGTAGAGAGAGAAGAGCTGTTACTGTATATATATAGAGAGAAACGAGAGCTCGGTATTTGTCAGTTTAAGGTGGACTTGATATTTATTTGCCTGTTCTCTAGCCCTTGGTAATGAATGTTGAAAATAACACTAATAATAAGTGTAGAAGGAGTAATAATGATAGTACAGTAGTAAATACAATGATAATAATAGATATGAAACAATAATTAACCCTTAAACAGTGACCATCATCTATGAATTTAGCTGTAGTGATGGCGGCCATCGTCGGTGGATGTTTAAAGTTCATTGTATTTCTGTTTTTACACAGGATGAGGAGGAGGAGTACTTAGCCACCATAAGGAAAAAAATATGATCCATTATTATAAGCCATGTTGTACAAAGATACCAGCAAAAGATTATTATTATTATTATTATTATTATTATTATTATTATTATTATTAACTATGAATTAAATTCCATGGCTGTGGATTTATCTTCATGTTTACGACTAAAAAAAATGTTTGATATTTCAGAATTTATTAATGAGAACTGATGTACTGTAGCATGTTGCAGTTAATGCTGCAGATGAGATACAGTACAGTACAGTACTGTATAGTAGTGCTGTACAATATTGCTAGCATGGTACACTTAATATACAGGGAACTGCTTGCATGGTACACTTAATACTCTACTGAAGACAGAACTACTAGCATGGTACACTTAATAGACAGACAACTATTAGTATGGTACATTTAATAGACAGAGAACTATTAGTATGGTACACTTAATAGACAGAGAACTATTAGCATGGTGCACTTAATGAACAACGAGCTACTTGCATGGTACAGCACACGATTGAGTTCCGAGCTTAATATATCCTCAGCTTGTACTAACTCACGGTTAGCAAAGCTACACTTGGGACCAGCCTGCAATGACTTGATTCAGAAACTCATTTGCTGTGCTTGATATATTTAGTTTAATTACAGTACCTTTACCCTCAACAGGTAAATTGGAACCTCTGGCTTCCTAATAATTAATGATAGAAATAGCGTGTCTCAGAAATATATATACACACTGCCTTACAGGTTTTCGTGGAGGTAGTACGAATGTTTTTATTACAACGGCAGAAATTTCTCGTCTGTGCATCAATAAGCGAGGTCTATATACTGTATATAGAGCAACATTGTCCGTACTAGTGGGAGACCTCGAACATCACAACAATGCTGTTGTTGCATGGATGGATCCAGGAATATTAAAAGGGAGTCCATGAAGTTGTGGGTGAGAGAACATGGGAAACACAGCAAGCCCATCCAACTGGGTGGGTTGGAGGGGCATTATAAGCCCCCAGATTTATTAATATTTTTTTTTAATCTGACCAATATCATGGGCATTTTGAGGTCATGTGCACTTGATATTAGGAGATATTCTGAGGTCAATAGTCATTACTTTCTACTTCGGTGTACAAAAATGACTGAGTACAATACAGTACTGCATTGAAGAAAATGTATTGGAATTTTCTGATGGAAAGGGGGGGGTCTGGACCCCAAGGATCTGCCCCTGTATTGTAATGTGATAGAGTACAAGTGTTTATACATTCTCCATGAAAATAACTCTAAGGCAGTGTGTACAATACAGTATACATTTTTGTGAGACACTTTATACTATTCTAGTTTTTTTTTTTTTTTTAGTTTTTGTTATTTAGGTAGAATTCTTCCTCTATATTTTTTCTGGTAATTCACTGCTGGGTTTCAGAGGAATATTTGTAATGATTGAGTTTACTTGTTGAAGCACATTAATATCTTCTATTAAATGTCTTGCTGATGTTGTCTGTAATGTGAAGTCAAAGTTAAACAACAATCCTAAACTAATTATTCCCAGTTTTTAAAAGTCTTTTAGGTTCACTTGAAGATTAACCCTCCCAGCTTATTTTACCTGAAGTTTAACTACCTTAATATTAACCTAATCTCATGGTGCACTTATGAGACACCACCTTAGTCACCGTACAGTAAGTTATCTGTCAATGAAAATCTGGTTTACAAAATACAGTAATCTATTTTTTGATACATTTGCTCATTCAGAATACTGTAGGAGGTTTAAGAATATAAAGTAATTGCCTTCCATTTAGTATTTATCACAAAGTACATGAGAGCGAATGAGGAGAAATTTGACAATTGGGCAACTGGCTGAGTGACTGTGTGGATGGAGTCTACTTGTCTTCATATGTGTTTAAGGAGTAAGTTTTTTGGTGATTTCAGGAGAGTGATGACACATGGAAAGCTTAAAGGTAGACACAATAACGTTAAGAGTGCTGGAGACTAATGAAGTAAATAAGTATGACAGGTATTTACAGAAACTAATAATATAACCAGCACTATGGTACATGTTTTCCTTGGACACACATTCATGATAGTATCCACATTACATAATTACTTCTTCATTTTACAGAAGCTTCTTGGTGCTACACTTTGGGGTTGACAGATACTTTACTGTACTATATTAACATCAGTGAGACACAGGCATTTTCTCTTTACCGTTTCCTTTACTTTTGATTAGCTCACTTTATCTCATTTGTAAAAGATGTAGCTGCTAATTATTCTTCTGTGAAGCCTTTATATAATGGACTTTTCTCCATATAATCCGTTAGCTGGGGTAGGTTTCACATCTAACGGACCCTTGATATAGTGGGCTTTAATCTCTATATAGTTCGTTATATAGAGATTTTTTATATAATGGACCTTCGATATAATGAACTTTCATCTCTATATAGTTCGTTAGACGAAATTTTCATCGGTAACGAACCCTGTATATAATGGATTTTCATGTCCATGGAGTCTGTTAAATAGAGGTTTCACTGTAAGCTTTCATAAACACAACACCTCTGAAAAAGTGTTCTTAATGCATGATGGTTTCACACACACACACACACACACACGCATTTGCTTGTTGGTGTTGGCTTCTTACTAATTAGTTATCTCATGTGCGTACACCCATGTGCGCACATCACAGGAGATGTATCTCTTCCAGGAGACGCACATCATGCATGTCTTTAAGGAGGACTTCTACGGATCTGAACTGAAGGTGGTGATGCTCGGCTATATTAGACCCGAGAAGAACTTCAAGTCTTTAGGTGAGCTGGAGAGATAGCTTCAAGTTTTTTGACAGATAGATAGTAATAGGGTAGTTAGATAGATAATGAGAGAATGGCAAGACAAAAGCCAATAAACTGTGAACTAGTACACAAAAAAAATGTTAATCATATACACAAGAGACAAAAGAAGTGCAGGTTAGTTTACATGTGAAGATGGATGTGTTACAGTGTTTTGAGAAGTAGGAGAACGAGCTGTGATCATCAGTCTATTTTTGTTTTGCTCGAGAAAATTTTTCCCCCAAAACATTGTTAAAAGTAAATCTCTCAGTTTAACGTCATTTCTGTTGTTTTCATTCTTTTTTCGTTCTTTTCTTTTTTTACCATACAAAAAATATAATTATTGTTTAGAGTAAATCTTCATATTTTTCAGTGTTTAGTATTAGTTTTGTTGTTTTCGTTGTTTTTCTCATTCAGAAGAAATTACAAACAATATGTTTGAAGTTTTAGGAGTTTTAAATGATGTACGGAACCATACATGTGATAAAAAGGTAAAAAATATCTCCAAGGTATGTAAACCCAACTCCTAACATTAAACTTGTAGTACAGTACTGTACAGTAGTGTTGGGTGATATGCATTCTTCAGGATGTCCTCAACTTTATCTTATCAACAACACCTGCTAGGTTTATCTCCTGAATCATTGCTGTCAGCTGTATGCTAGCAATATTCTGATAATAATTTAGATTCGTACTTTAAGTTACCCGGTAGGGCATTTCCTTACACTATACGGTATACTGTACCGGACTTAAGGAATACAGCATTTCCTCAATTTAACGAACTAATTCGAGCCATCCCTGTTCATTATATTTAAATTTTCCCTAAATTGAGCTTTCCTTTATGTTCGTTCAATTCACTGAACTACACCTTTTCACATATCCGTTAAGACATTGTTACATAACTATTTGACAAATTTCATAACCTAATGACAGAACACATATCGAATGACAATCTAAAATAACTGTTGGTGGTATGTCATTCTCCAATTGTTACATTCTCAAACTATATGTAGACTGTCGGTTTATTGTTCACGTCTGTCAACTTCATAACTTATGTCAATCACTTCCGTTAGCATGGACGAACAGTTATTTTAGATTGTCATTCGATATGTGCTCTGTCATTCGGTTATGAAATTTGTCAAATGGTTATGTAACAATGTCTCAACGAATATGTGAAAAGTTGTAGTTCACTAAAGGTGACCCTACATAACAATAGGTCTGGTCAGTAACATGGGATCCACTAGTACACACACCACCTACACCGCACACAAAAGAAAAATTATAAGGAGCATCTCTGGGGGGAATATCTGTCATAAAAAGTAAGAGCTCACTTTTTATTCGTAATACTGTACCACTGGATATAGCACCATCTATTTATTTTATATTTTTTCATTTGCTCACAGAACTGTAGATTATAGTGAAATATTAGGTCACAATATATATACTGTAGCCTGTGCTGTACACTGTAAATGCAACCACCTGTATCCATGATCCCAGTGTGACTAACACAGTCAAACAAACAGCATCAGTCAGTGCATGACAGTGGACAAGTTTAAAATGGGTATAGTGTGTCTGTTAGTTTATTTTATGTTAGGTTAGGTTAGGTTAGCATTAGATGGTTAGTTAGTTTTATGGCTGGGGGAGGCTAATCCTCAAATGATCCACGATCCTTGAAGGTAAAATTGTCATCAAGCCGTTTTCATAAATTTTTCAGAGGAACTCATCACCGCCATCCACAACGACATCTCAGAGTCAGACAAGCAGCTCTTACAGGCCCAACATCTGCACTACAAGCAACACCCATTCTTCACAGAAAAGTCTGGAGCGCAGTGCAACGGAGTGATCAGTAATGGAGTCGTCACCAATGTACATGGAAAAGAAAATGGTCTGGCTAATGGAAACATAGAACAAAATAGTTGAAAACGGAGTGTGTAATCGGTGCATTATTAAGTTAATTGGCTTTTATTAGTGATCCCTTGTGATACCAAAGGTTGAAAAGTTTAATTCTTGTTGCTCTGTAATACTGTTAACATTATCAACATAAATTTTAATAAGGGCAAGAAAAAAACACCTTTGTGTGAGATACTGTTAATGATGGTTTGAGATAAAAGGATGTAGCTATCTATGGCAATAAACAGTTCTTTAAAGAGTTAGAGTATGACCATCTCTGTGAAGGGAATTAGTTGAGGAAAAGTCAGATGTTAGGTAGACACTGAGAAGAGAAATGACCTGCCTCCTCACTACAATTATTTGTATAGTGTATTTAATGTGTCATTTGCCAGTAAATGCAGAATATCTGCACAAATTCACTTGAGTCGAAGTGTAATTTAGAAACAATGTATTTCAGAAAATCCTTAATAAATAAGTGATTTTAATATAACTGTGAGGAGAGTTGGTAAGAAGAGGAATCATTTTGTGTAACTATCCTTGTGTATTGCTTTTGTAGATGATAGAGAAGCCATTATTACTTAAACGGTAGATACATATATACAGGGTTACATATAGATGAGAAATTACTTTATGAAAAAAACATCAACAGTTAATCCTATGAGGGATTCCTGTCGTTATGTTGGTCACAGGTGTAGTAGACTGTTATTGTGAAGGGTGAAGAACACAGTCATGGCCTCAGTCCTTCTGTTGGTATTGAGAAATAATTTGTTTCAGTTATGACTTACAGTAACACCTGTAAGATGACCAGTTTATGTTATTTCACCATCAGCTAAATTTGTGTTGCCTTATTTTACAGACCAGCCATTATTGTGGAGAGGGGCGACTGTAATGGTATATAATACAGTTATAGGTACAGTGAAACCTCCATATAACAGAGTTTAGACGGGAGTTTAACATATAACGGACCCTCGATAGAACGGACTTTCCTCTCTACACAGTTTGGTAGATGAAGGTTTCACGTCTAACAGGCATTCTTTTTCATATAGTCCGGTAAATAGAGGCTTCACTGTATAGTAGTTAATGGTAATGAAGGTGTCTCACACGAGGTTAGCATTACAGTCTATACAAATGGGTCACTGTGCATTACAAGCTTAACTTAGTGTGTCTTAAACATGTTCATTTTTCACTTCACTGTGATTCTTACATATAGTACAGTATGCAGTGTGTTGGTAATGATCAGTTCAGTGCATATTTTAGTAGTAATTGTAGTTAAATTAATTTGACCATCAGTTTAGTTATTTTGTAGGAAATTGACTGTTAGTAACTTGTGTGTTTTTTATTTAAGATCAATTGGTTATCACTAACCTCTTAATTAAAGATCTAAGTTGAGCATTCTGCAAATATTTTTTTTACTCTGTGTATTCTTGTTTAGTGTTTTACTTAGTTACTTTATACAGCCACTTAGAGAGAAGTACAGTGCAGTATTTACTCCTGCAAGTATATGATTTTGTTGTTGTCTTGAAAAAGTCATAGTTCATTGGTTCATACAGTTTTGGGTTGGAATTCCTTATACATAAATAACTCTGTTTAGGGTCTTGACATATGGCTTCCAGCAGTTTGAAAAGATTACTATTAGTCCATCCCATTACATATTTATCACCAATTAAATGAAAAAAAAGGGGTGTCTCCTGTACACCAGACAGTTACTACTATACAGTATTAGTGAGGAAGACAGACTCGTTACCTGGGGTTTGTCACACACACACACACACACGTCACAGACCCCCAACACACACCTAGTGATCTCCCGTAGTTACCACAAACCAAGCTCTGCCATTTTGTGTGTAGGAAGTTCATTACCCCTAACAGTTGCTACCTGCCTCGTTAATCTTCTCTCGGTGAATTTGATCATCCAAAATCGCTTTCTTTAGGTTTTAGTATCATGCATTTCCCACTGTGTATGCTGTATAGTTTCCAACATTTAGCAGTATTAATGGGAATATTTAAGATTACTTTATCAGTTTACTTTGGACCATGTTCTGGTATATACTGTATAATTACAGTATACCTGTGTATCAGTTGTGGTGTTTTATGCTTAAAGGACCAAACAGTGTGAGTGTATGTGTAGGAAGAGCAACAGGAGCTTATGATGGTGGAGATTATCTTAAAAGTGTTGTTTTATACAGTAAATATCCCCCCCACAAGCCAACTGTCTCTGGGAAGAGTCGCTATCCATGGGAAAATATGTCAGAACTTGGGAAAAATCAGGTCTGTATGTACGTAATGTAATAGGTAATACATTTCCCCTTCCTGTTATAAATTATTTGGATGCAACTTTGAGTGTACCAAAGGTTTTACACACACACATACACATACTCATACACACGTACACATACTCATACACACATACATTTATTTATTTATTTTAACTAGTTTGTTACTATATGTTCCTCTCTGGTGATTTTTATGTGTTGTGTTGTCTAGTAGGCTGAAGGTAGCAATTCCTGAGATGTGACAACCTTAGTGATACCTCTTTCTCTCTCTTACACACACACACACACACACACACACACTGTCCAAACATACAAATTGTTCCCTCAATTGTTCTATATTCACTCACCAGCTATACACATTCCCTCGTTATTCATATAAATACTCCCTCATAAAATGTTCCCTCAATCAGTCTATATACACTCACTAGCTATACACATTTCCTCAGTATTTATACACACCCCCCTCACACTTCACACTAATAGCCATACTGTAGCTGCTTATAACCATCAGTACTTTATCGACCTAACTGATTGTGATAGAATGGCGGCCATCATAAAGATAAACTTTTGTTGTTTGGTAAAGGTGCAGTGTGGTGTGTTGAGGAGGAGTAACATAACACAGATGAAAATATTATTAAAAGATGGATAGACTTTCACAAACTCTGTAAGGCAACGATCAAGGAAATTACGATACCATTTTGTCAATTCTGTTTACTTTCTGAATTCGATATCATTCGACTCTACATTTGCATTTGTTCGTGTTGTCTATTGTATTATAATTAGTAATGTGTGTTGTCCCAGGATGGTTGCAGCAGAGTGTACTTTGTATATTTATGTACTTATGTATTAATTATTAATTTGTGCTTCACACACATGTTATTAATAAGGTGAAGTTGTAATAAACCTTACTTTCCTAATGGCCACCCAGTAGAGTTGGACATACCCAGGGAAGGAAGCCAATGGCCTGTGTAGGATTCCTCCATTGTCCTATTATACCTATTACTAGCTAAGTAGGTCATATATACATTGCAGGTATTTTCTTGCTCACTCAACTCTTTGATTATGGAAGTATGTACAGTAATTCAGTGGCCGAATTCTGCATTTTCATGTTATACAGTACAGCAAGTTGCATGTTAAGCTTATTTCTCTTAGTTACACTCGACATGGTGCCACCACATACACATATGGTGCCATGGCCAGTGCTGCTACTTATAAATTGTGGCCACCTCACACATATGGTGCCGTGGCCATCGCTGCTACTCATAGTTTGTGGCCACAACCAAAATTGTTCTGTTATAGTTAATACATATATATAAAACACTTAATTTCCCTCCAACATTTAGTTTTTTAATAGAAATGTTAATACCTTGTAATATGCTGTTTCTGTAATGTGTACAGTAGTAGGATAAGAGTGAGGATTGGTGTAATATATTGTCTGCTGCCACCACAGTAAGTATAAGTAAAGGACTGCTTCTCCTCCAGTGATGCCCTTGTGTGCTGTATATTATACAGTACAGTACACTGTAATTATTATTATTTAACCTTTTAGTAATAGTGCAGTGTATTATTTTCCTGTACGTATTAATACTTTTATTATTATTATTATTATTATTGTTGTTATTATTATTATTATTATTCGTATCATTATTTTATAATTTATATTTTTGTTATTAGTATTAATTTTCATTAATGTTGAATTTTTTATTCTATGTATAACTGTTATTGTTTTTTAATTATATTATTGCATAAAATGGTAAAAGAAGAGAAACCTTTGTTAAGCGGAGGTGAGGGGACGGCAGTGCGGCCCTCATGATGTGATAGATCTCTGTTTATGGACAAAAGTGGCAGAGATACAGAGAAACTGTTAATAAGAAGAATGTAACTGTCTTTTATGAATAATGAATAGATATTTTATTATACACATTGTTATTTTCTGTCATCCTATATATAGTATCTAAATTATGGTAGAAATTTTGAGATTTTTGTTAAGTATTTTGAAAGGATGAGATGATTAGTGACAGTATTAATACACATATACGTTTATTGTCAAAAACAAAACCTATGCGCACTGTCGTACAGTTTTTCATTGTAGAATGCATGAATGTTTGTTTGTTACAATAGCAATATTGTTTTCACTTGTTGATGTGCAAAGTTTTCCATAAGTGAGGACAATGTTGCTTTTGTACTACAAATATTCACATGATCTCCATGAAAATATGTAAGGCAGTGGTGTATACAATTTTAAGACACTGTATATTTGTACAATCAATTTGTTAACTTTATCATCATTTGCAGTACACTGAGGTCAACCAGCATTAGGTCATAATGTAACTGGTGTATTTTCAAAAAGTCACTTTTGTTGTGGTAGTGACACTACTGACAAGTGTTCCTTTACAAAAGGGGGGGCATTTATGAGCAAATGGATTTTGGATATGTTTGAATATATTTTGTAGAACCCTTTGACTATTTACAATAAAATTTAAACCACTACCGATAAACATTTCAAAAGTTGGCGCCGCAATCTCGAACACAAAGATTTTCTCTATTAGTTTGCATTGCTGTGACAACTCTCTCAATCTTTTACGTGGTCTGCCATCTTGTAGGTATAGACGCTACACGCTAGAGTGATCGCTATCATAAACACAAACACTCCTACTTTGTAAACAAGTTTTTGATGATGATGCATTTATGTGTTGTTGTCGGATGCCACAATACATCTAAGAAGAAAGACAAGTCCCTATCATTTTTACACTATTCCTGCTGTCATTTATAATCAAGAAGATAAAACACGAATTATCTACAAAGAGGAGGGTTTTGTGGATTTCTTGGGTAAACAGAAAAGGGTGGTTGCCTTCCAAACATTCCAAAGTGATTGAGAGCCTGCTGATTATGAATACAGTATGTGGTCCACGATTCGATTGCAGAGTAATTAGTGGCCAAAATGACCCTTGAAAGATTTTACTGACATTTTTCAATGCTAATTACTCATCAACTATGGGTTTCCAAGGTGTGATTTAGGGTTTGTGTGTTATTCTGAAGTACTTAATTAGTTAAACCACTTAAATTTCAATTCTGAGAAAAAGTATATTTTGGTCAAAAATTTTGTAAGGTGTAAGACTTATGTTTTTGGTGGTTTTGGGCCCAAAATTAGATTTTGCTGAAAATCACAGTATGGGTACTCCTGAGCTTGCTGATTATGAATATGTGGTCCACGATTCGATTGCAGAGTAATTAGGGTTTAACTAATTAAGTACTTCCAGAATAACACAAAAAATACATAAATTGCACCTCAGAAACCCATAGTTGGTGAGTAATTAGCATTGAAATAATGTAATTAAAATCTTTCAAGCATCATTACGACCACTATTACTCTGCAATCAAATCGTGGACCATAGAATCAGCATGAACAAGCATGGACAACATTACATGTCCCCCATTGAGGCTAAAGGGACTCTTGAAAGTCGAGTGGAGATGTCACTCTGACCCTCACACAGCTTCTGGGGAGTCTCGGGAGAGGCTTCATAATGCCAAGCTTCACCTCCAAATACATGCCCTCCATACCCATACCCCTCCTCCTCGTCCCCCATACCTACACCCCTCCTCCTCACCCTCCATATCCACATCTCTCCACGCCCTCCATATCCACATCTCTTCTCCTCGCCCTCCATACCCACACCCCTCCTCGCCCTCCATACCCACACCCCTCCTCGCCCTCCATACCCACATCTCTCCTCCTCGTCCCCCATACCCACACCCCTCCTCCTCGCCCTCCATATCCACATCTCTTCTCCTTGTCCTCCATACCCACACCCATCCTCCATGCCCTCTATGGGAGGGCCCTTGGGGGAGCCTCCACCCCTGGTAGGGCCCCTGGCGTGCCACTGTCCCTAAAGAGGGCCCCCGGGGGCGCCGTCGCCCCTGGGAGGTCCCCTGGGGTCAGTTGTTTTTGCACTATTTAGAATGCTGGGAGATATGACGTTAAATAAATACACAGCCCCGTCATATTTCCAGTATCATCGCATCCTGAACAATGAAATGGAGACTAAATATCCAACAGGAAAACATAAGTTGGGGTGTTGTGCTGACTGATTGTTCTGTTCTCCCATTGGCTGTAATTTGGTGGATTTACATTTTAGTCCACCAATCACAGTTAAGTAAGGGATTGCTGGACGTAGGCAATATGTACGACACCACGAACAAGTCCCTGGGGGCGCCACTGCCCTTATCAGGGACCCTGAGGGTGCCACTGCCCCTGGGGGCGCCACCGCACCTGGCAGGGCCCCTGAGGGTGCCACTGCCCCTGGGGTAATTAGTGGTTGTAATGACACTTGGAATACTTAATGACATTTTTCAATGCTAATTACTCACCAACTATGGGTTTCCAAAGTGAGATTTTGGTGTTAATGTGTTATTCTGTAAGTACTAAATTAGTTAAACCCCTTAAATTTAAATTCAGAGAGAAAAGTATATTTTGGTGGAAAAATTACTTAGGTGTAAGGCTTACATTTTTGACAGTTTTGGCCCAAAATTAGATTTACCCCGGTAGTTGAAAATCACATTTTAGGTACTGCTGAGCATGCTGATTTCGAATATATGGTTCACAATTCAATTATGGGGTAATTAATGGTTGTAATGTCGCTTGGAATATTTAATGACATTTTTCAATGCTAATTACTCGCTATCTATAGGTTTCGAATATGCGATTTTGGTGCTAATGTGTTTTGTCATAGCATTGACAATGCACTGAAATTCTTAGGCCATTGTGAGATGGTGAATCAAGCAATGAAGCTAGTAGGTGCTTGCCCATTTGGAGTAGTCACCCCATCTGGTCTTCGAGATATGCTAGAAACTGTCAGTTGATTGAAAACGTCCAAAGGAGGACCACCAGATTATTGCCTCAGTTACCCAGATAAATTAGAACGCTTGCAACTGCCTAGAGTATACTATAGGCAGGCAGATGGAAGTTTATTTTACATGAAGATTTATAATGTACTCAAATGAATAAACAAGTCAGTCAGGTCAATAACAAACACAATACTGAGGAAATATTTATTTGTCAAATTAGAAGATAATAAAATGTGTTGGACACTGGTACAGTGTAGCAACTTTAGTGACACAAACCATGTGTGATTTGACAAGTGTAGTAACTTTAAGTGACATAATAGTGACACATGTAACATCTATGGCCACACAAGAAAATAATGCCAACTAAATTTGAGAGAATTACTACTATGAATCATTGGTTATCATTATGGTATATCTATTGATGATAAACCTTAGTTGATATCCAGCATTAACCAGTTCCGACACCATACTCAAATTAATTTTTAACCTGTTAAGTATCAGCAGACAAAGTTCTCAATAGCATCTCAACATTTACTGATGCAGGTTTTTAACATGTCAACCTTTTTTTGCAGACTAAGCACACACAAATTAATTTATTTACGGTATCTAAATCAAAAACTTTCATCTGTTAATTAAATGTAAATTTTTGTTGGTCACATGTGTTTAACTTCATGTTTGTTTATATACAGGGACATCCAAAAATAATAGCACACTGAATGAAATACTTCCACTTTGTGTTTGCTCAGGTAAAAATGTATCCTTGTTATCTTGTAGGTACTGTATCATTAACTCGCTGAAGTAAAATATCAACCGACTGTGGGAGAACTAAAGTGAACTTCTGCTAGTCAGACGTTAATGATTTATCCCTCGGGCAACCCATAAGGACTAGTCTCAATAGTGGACAATTGATTTGGATGCAGTATTTTTTCACTATGATGGGAAGAACTACTAATGTGCAGGATGATTACCTCATGAAAATTGTGTAAAAGAAAGAGATGGAAAAATCACAGGAAACTGAGTGTTGCAGAGAAGTCTTGAAGTAGTCTGCTAAAGATTGTGACAAGTGGTATTGCAGAACATTGGCAGCCATTTGCAAAGAAGCCTAAGAAAATCACTCACACCCTTGATGCCACAAGTAGGTTTCTCATGAGCATATTCATACACGTTGTTCATGAACTTGTACTCTGTGACACAAAAGTTGGTGAACTTCTGTCAAGGGCTCCAAAATTTCAGAACAGAATCAGATCGAGTTGTAAGCAGCACCTTCTTTATGGATGAGGCAAGATTCACAACACCAAGATTTGGGCCACAGGAAAAAGGCCCAAGCAATGCAGTATTATAAAACCATCATACGAATAAAAAATAAAGTATAACGTGTACTCTCTCCACAATGCATGTTATATTGGACTTATATTTCTTGAAGATACAGTAAACTTTTTCAGGCACATTAGTGATATTCTCAATAATTTTTTTGAAAAACTACAGCATATAAGGAGAAATGAGACAGGCTGTCCCAGAAAGATGATGCAACTTTACACACAACACAGTACAGTACAGTAGTTTTGAAGACCACATTATTTCTAGTGGTTTGTGGCCGCCTTGTTCTCCCTCTAGACTGATCTGTGGGTTAAACTGAAAAACGTGGTGTATACATATTATAATCCCCATATGACAGTGCTGAAGGCTAAGAAATCAGAAGTTATGAATGGCATCCTGGTAGAAAAACTGTAATAAGTGTACAGTACTACATTTCAAAACATGGAGATAAGTCCAACTTTGCTTATAAATAAATGGGTCACAATAACAATTGCTATAAGTTTGACGTAATTGCTCAAGAATTTTCAAAACCCACATCTTCCGTTATTCTGAAATGTATCTGCCGCATTTAAAAAAGAAAAAGAAAAAAAAGACTACTTTCAGCAAAAGATGTGTTCAGTATTTACTAAACTATTTTACCACCCTGTAAAACTGAATAGCTTCATGTATATGGGTGAGGTTGTGTGCGCAATGTGAAATACGTTTGGATGGACTTCATAAGTCTTACACTCCATCGTACTCCCAACAAGGATGGAACAGAG